TTCTTATGAACTTTGCAGGCTGAAGCCCACTGAATTCAATCTAAGCTACAAGTTGCCTCCAGCCACATAAGGGTCTGGATATTATGTTTGAAAACAAATTAATTTAAAAATGCAATAGAATTGTGTAAACACTAGCAAACATAAGCTATTCTCTCACTCTTTCTTTATATTCAATCTGATCATCCGATCTCTTCTCTCTAGTTTATTTCTCTGGTACACACAATTAGCAAATACCATTTCAACCAAATGCTTTTTTGTTTGTTAATTCATGCAGACTAAATGCATAAAAAAGGTCAATATTTTGATCAAAAATTTTCTATGGTTTTGCAAACAAATATTTTAAAAACTAGTGTGAATTGGACAAGGAAAAAAAAAATCTCAAGAATTTTCTGAAGGAGGTTGCTTTTCTCCCTGGCTCCTTTAGTTATACATTTAGAGTTTAATATTCTTGTAAAAGAGGCATTTTCTTGAAAAGAACTCAGATGTAAAAAACCTTTATTTACACTAGCAGGACCCAGGGAACAAAGAAGCCCAAACAAAGCACAAACAAAGGAGGAGTAGTCAAGCTTCTTTTATATCATATCCTTTTTCTTTCCCCATGGCTGAAGGTATCTGTCTCAGTCAAATCAGCCTTGCATGAAATACCTCCATGCTTCATATATTCCCTAGACAGTGAGAAGAGCACAATGAAAACCACTCCAAAACGTTACAGGCACCTACTTCATCATGATGTGAGCACTCACAGCCTGTGATGCCTGCTGACTAATGGGAGTCTGTAATTCTCATCCAGAATTAGCAGTTCGGGTCACTGAGAAGCTCAGGTTCCTCAGGATCTGGGAGATCTTGAAAGCAAACTGCCTTGAGAGAAAGCATCTTAACTTGAGCAATTCTCTGTCTCACATGACCACTTCAGCACATCTCAGAGCAACATAACCTAAACGTAAAGAAGCTCAATTGTATGCCCCAGGGAAGCTTTTTTCCCACCCTTCCCCATACAGGTGTACCTAATCTCAAATGAAGCAAACTGTGATTCATTTTAAAGCTTTTTCCTGCCTCTTTGAACAGAGCTGGAGGTGTAAAACTTTGAAATCAGGTAGACCTCAAAGGATCAGCTGTGCCCAAGAAGGACAACTGGTCCTAAAGATTAAAAGGCTCTTAATAGAAAAGAAAACCTGTAAACACAAGACTCAAAGGAAATAATTTTCATAGGACTCTGGACACCCCTGCCACAGCGTGGTGCTGAGGACTAGATCACAGCGAGCTTTGTAGTGCTTCAGACTTACAAAGGATTTTGCCCACTTACATATTAGAGACAAATAGGAGCTTTTCATCTGCAAATGGTCTTAGTTTCCCCCTTTATAAAAGGAGCCTTGTCTCCAGCCCAGCTATACTGGGTAGGGACAGGTGAAGGTCCTCACTGGTGGACCCTTGGGTGGGCTACCTTATGATCATAACTGCACTTTGATTACAAATTTGTATTTTCTTATATATATAAATATATACACACTAAAATCTGCACACTATTAGATGAACCAATTGACATTAGGGTTCAGCACTGACTTTGTATTTTATTATTTTTCAAGGTCAGTACCCAAGTACTTGGGCTGTATTTAACAGCATCAATAAGTAGTTAGAGCATGTTAATTGCTGTGAACAGCATTGCTTCTCCTTGCTGCCACTCAGTCTGTATTCATCTCATAACTCTGTTTTACCTTGTAAACTCCCTAGGCCAGCGTGTTCATTTTTGTGGTTTTTTTAGTACCTAGCACCATAGGATCCTTCTCCATGGTGTGCTGGTTTCACTTGGCTAGCCCTTGGCTAGCAGCCAAACAGAGCCACCTGCTCACTCCCCCCAGCCCCAGGGGATAGGGGAGAGAACTGGGGGGCAAGGGTAAGGAGACTCGTAGGGTGAGATAAGAACAATTTAATAATTCAAATAAAATAAAACTTGAAATAATAATGATATTAAAATAATAATAATAGTAATGAAATATGCAAATAAGTGATGCACAGTGCAATTGCTCACCACTCACCGACCAAGCCTGGCCCGTTCCCAGATAACAATCTGCGACAATCCTGAACCGAAACCGCAATCCCTGGAGAGCGAGAGCCCGAGCAAAAGCCAGAGAGAGCAAGAGAGGAAGAGCCCCTCATGGATCTCCTGTCCATGGGGGAGAGGAGATGGAATAGCCCCGTGGCAGAGACAAATGCCAGTTTAGCCAATTAACTTAAATATTCCTCACGCTCCCTAGATCTTGCGCTTGCAGAGTGACAAAACACAAAGTCCTTCACTTCCAGTGACAGAATGAAAACACTGGGTTGTTCTCAGCATTTCTCTCCTAACAAATCCCAGGCTGAAACCAAAACACAGCACTATTCTAGCTACCAAAAAGAAATCTAGCTCTGTATCAGCTAAAAACCAGGACACATGGTTATTTAATGCTACAACACTGCTACTAGTAAATAATTATGATCATCACTTTTGATTTCATATCACAGGATTCTCCTCATGTATTCTGAGGATGCTCTGTTCTGATGATTGCTGTGAAGGCCAGTATTTAGCAGGATATGGTTTTTCAGTTTGCCCACTGCACAATCTATTATTAGAGAGCAGATTCAGCCCTCATGTGTCTTTTCATGCGCAGCAAAGAGAGATATTTATTTTCTCCACTGTTAGCTGCATTAATGATACCCTTCTGAAAATGATGTGTGACTGACATCGTTAAACTGCCTTGCAAGTGCAGGTGTAAAGGAGGGGGGTTTTGTGTTGTACATATGGAGAAATTATATATTACATTATAAAGATGAGATATAAGCTGTGAGAAGAAATAGGAAAGACAAAACAGAGAGCTAGATGATTGTTGTAGGTCCCTTCCAACTCAACTCTTCCCTTCCCTTCCCTTCCCTTCTCTTCTCTTCTCTTCTCTCCAAACATCTCACCTTTCCAAAGGATGTCTTAATTGCACTTTAAAGGAAATAAAGGTGAAATTGAATGAATGTATACTTGACCTTCTTTACAGGATTTCCCACTGTATATTTGCCATTTTCATTTCCTAGAGTTTACTATCAGCTTTATATAAAAAACAGCTTCCTTTCTGGGTCCATGACATATTTTCATATTCATTTAATCAATCTGAATTATTTCTTTCTGTTGCATTCTTACCTAAATAATATGACATTTGGCTTAGTTTGGGTGTAGGCATGTGTACATAAGTCTCCCATTTGTAAATATACATTTATAGTATTACGCACGTACACACCTGCATCTGTGTGTGCTTTTTGTTAGTCTGCAGTAAAAGAAGCTGGATCAGAATGTCAGGGGAGCATTAAGGAGAGGGAGTTATGTGAGGCTGCCAGACAAAATGGCTGAGGGTTGACCCTGCTAGCAGTGGTTCATTTTTCATGGACCACAATGGAAAACAAAATGCTAAATTGGAACAGTCCTATGAAAAGTTAGTTTTCCTTTCAGACCTAAGATCAAAAGGGGAACCATTCCTAGTAAATCAGGATTGGAGCAACAAAGTCGGTGGCTTAGGTGGGATAACAGCAGGTCTGGTAAGAGATCTCTGTGTAGATAATGCTGATGATACATAACTGAAGATGTGGTCACCTAGTGCCCATCTCTCCTAACCCGAAACTAAGAGTGCAATTCAAGAGTTATTGAAAGTGCCGGGGTCCCTCTTTTGTGCCTGGCTGAGTCTCTTTCTTCTACCCTCTCCTGCTCTGTGTGCTACCCAGAGCCTTCCCTTGCATGGTACAATGGACTAGTGATACGCACCTTTTAGTCTAGCTGTATCTGTGGGTTTGGCACATTTATTTTTCAGTGTGGGCTGGTCGTATGTCAGAGATGAGAAAAAAGGGGACTTGTAGCTTCACCTGTGTATCTGTGAATTAAGGGAATGGACATTAGCAGAAGCTGCAGATATGTCATTGGGTGTTTCCCTGGGACTTTGTGAGTGTAAACAGATTACAGCTAGATAAATAAATCAATACTTTAATTATAAACTCTGAAATGTCCTTAAATCAGTGCATGCACAACAGGGCATTTTCCAGAGCTGGATGTTGTGATACAAGGCAGTCTGTTACTTCAAAGGTATTTTATGGGTTTGAAGCAGCTACGTGGGGAGATAGGAAAGGGTTAAGCATCTCTCTTGGAGTCAGTGTGCTAGAAGCTTTGACAGTTAGGCTTCATGAGTGCAACCATGAAATTAATTCTTGCCAGGGAAAACAAACTACAGACAGAGGCACTCGTGCACCAAATAGTCACAGTTTGCAAGGTTAGCTAAAGTTTATCAAAATCCCCAGACAAAAAATGTCATTAAGATACAGTTAAGGTTATAGATAGATAGCAATTCCCAGGCAAGAAACTTCATTAAGGTACACTCAAGGTTGTAAATATATGTGGCAATTAAATTCAAACAACACAAGATCCAAACACTGTCATTATTTACAGTGTTAAATATTTGGAAATTAAAAGTACTGCTGCAGATAATATGGTTTCTATAAAATTAATAATCATGATTCAACAAACTGAACTTCTGCTGCTGTTCAGTATTACCTTACCTTCTCTAGTTGTGACACTCCTTGCCATAGGATACTGTGAAAGCTAAAAGTCTACATGGGTTCAAAAAATTCTACACAAATGTGTGGAAGAAAAAGCCAGCTGTAGGTATTGATAGCAAAGCAGACATCATTTATTCTGGAGTAGCCTGAGCCATAAGTCCTCAAGACCTGGAGAATATTCTGGGGAAAATCTCTTTCCAGCTTGCCTTGAGGAGACTAGGTCTCGTGTGTAAGGAAGCTATGGCAAGCAGTGCACTGCCTTAAAGAATATGGCATGCAAAACAAGTAATTAAATGTGAAATCCTGGCAACTAAATTTCAATTGAAGGGTTTAGAAGGGACACTCTGCCTCTTAAATGCAGTGTTAGACCCTTGAGATATTATTTAATTAGATTTTTCATTATAACATAGCTGTGAACATTGTCTTTTCTCTTTTAGCTTCAATAGTGATTGGGAAATGGTGGTGTGAGATGGAGCCCTGCCTAGAAGGAGAGGAATGTAAGACATTGCCCGATAACTCTGGATGGATGTGTGCGACTGGCAATAAAATCAAGACCACCAGAGTAAGTTGACTTTCTGTCCATACCTAGCAGCTCTTAATAGGAAAGGCAGTCACTAATAATGGCTGACACATATCTTTTCCAGCATCACATCTGCTGTAAAAGTCTTAAAGATCACTGCATACCTCCTCAGCCAGCCAACGCTTCTGGCTATCATTTAGTGAACATTTGCATGGATTCAGGCTGGTCATGATTTCCTGGCTTCTTCCTTTTTCTACAGTCCTAACTCCAGTCATTTTTCAGATCTTACAGACTTTTTGTTGAACGAGGAGATTTTAGCCCAACCGATCCCCGTGTTTTCTGAATTATTTTCTTTCCCTCCATATGACTTGCCCCAGGATTAATGATTTATATTGCAACTCTAGTTTCTTGAACGGTGCCTTCTGGCATGACCAATCTCACCACCACTTTAAATTACCAGGATACATATTAACATAGATTTTCCTCGCAGAAGGCAGTAAGTGGCCCCACAAAACAGGGTGCATGTTACCTCTTTGCCATCTCCCAGAGCAAAGGAGAAAGCATGGAAGGAACTGTGATTCCTTGGCACAGTTTATTCCTGGAGTGTCTTAGTGTACGTGCCTTGCATTGCAATTAAAACAAACAAACAAACAAAAAAACCCCAAACCAAACCAAACCTGCTACATGTCCTTTTCAGTAAGGCAACATTTTCCTCATTGAATTAGAGATTTAAAATGGAATAAATTGATATTAAAGAAGTAACAAGCAACATGAAAAAGAATGTTATGCTTTTATTAAATTATAGTAATTCAATACTTCTACAGTCTGTCTGCAAATTATATAATTTAGGAATTGCATTTGCTTTTTTTTTTTTTTTAAATTGTCCTACTCTTAATTCCCCCAATCCTCATCATGTAAACTAGTTTTAGGCAATAGCCCACATCTAGAAGTGATTGCTAGAAATTTAGCAGCTTCATTAATATGCAGATGTATGGTCCAATCTATTCAGTATGCATTATTGTATTTCATTTAAATTAAATACTTACAGAGTGAGTGCTCATAACTGAAAAAATATTTCTTCATTTACCCACAGGAGTTATTTTAATTAGCTTGTGAAGGGAGTACCTTATGGTGCTGCTTCCAGTAGAATTTTGCTTTGTTGCTTTAAAATATCATTACAGAACCCAACTGACAAAGGCAACATGACATGATGTGCTTAGCAACTGTCCCTACTGCAAAAATTCTACTTCATAATCCCTGAAACTTTGCTTGAATCTGTACTACTGCATCAAGTCTAGCAACATAAATATAAAATAATAGAAGCAATGAGATCCTGAAACAGGCATTTTTTTTCTTTGTTTTGTCATTTCAGATGGCATCAGAGAAAGAGATTACACTATAATCTGTACTGACCCCAGTCCAGGCTGCAAGATTGGGCCATGTGTGTCTAATTTATATAGTTAAGGAAGTTAAGAAAGCAGAAGAAACAAGACAAATCAGTCAACTTCCTAGCTATATCTGTGGTGATTAGCCAAAAAGCTAGAGCAAGTCACCATAGGCTGTAAACTGTTTTAATGAAGGCTTTTCCTTACACTCAATACATTTATGTTAGGCAGCTGCTGTCCTGACAAGGAAAACATTCACATTTATGACTCACAGCATTAAAATACCCATTAGTGTATTCTTCAAGACCCACAGTAAATCACATATAAGCATGTGCACACACACACACACACACACATATATATATATGAATACATGTATATACACAATGTATGTAATTTTACAGTGTAGTGAATTACTTCATGGTTGGTTCTCAGATGTGATTAATACTGATTAGTGTCAGAAGCAGGTGGACAACAGATCCAGCAAAGGCTTTACCAGCACGTTCTCCTTTCCTTCCTTTTCATGCACGTATTCCTGTGTTTAGTTCTTTAACATAGCTCACTAATTAAGTTGTTAAAGCCAAAGATACAAAGCTCACAGCCTCTGTAAATCGATTTGTTTTCTATTGACGGTCAGAACAGGTGACAAACACTGGAAAGAAATCATTTTGTAATTCAATTTTTGGAGCAGTTTCAACACTTTTTTAAATCCCTATTCACTCTTTTTTTTTTTTTTTCTTAAGAAACTAAGTTTCAATGCTTGCCTTAAAAAATATGAGGTTCTTGGAGCTGTACTAGAACCTGGCTGGAGATCACACCACTACATTTCAGCAGAGCAGCTGGCACCGGGGGAAATGCAAGAGCATGGTCTCAGTCTGGATGCTGGGAGATGGTGCCCACAAGGTCACATAAATACCTGTAAGAACCAGAGCTGCTGAAAAACATGAAAACATGCATCCCATGTCTTGCTACTTCCCATCTGAGCAAGGCAGTCACTCACAAGCTCTTTACATTGGATTCTTATCTACACATGACTTTCTCCATCACTTTGCAGGGTCCTTGAGGAGCACAGTGCTCTTCCCCAGGACCTTCTGCCCAGGCTCATGCGGACACTGCTCTGCAAAATGCCCTTTTTATCTAATCCACACTAATAACACCTGCCATTCCTGTACTAGCCCTCTAAATACTTCAACAGGCTGTTTTTCTGCTGATAGTGTGGAAGACAGAAATTAAAGAGTTGAGCACTTGGGGACTGGCAGAGCAGCTCAGCTTTGGAGCATCTCCAGTTTCACAGTCTGCACCTTCCATTACAGCCCAGCCACCACCCAGTTTCCAGAATAACACTTGGTTTACCATATATTTTGCCATCAGAGAAATGCAGGCCATTTTATGGTGCCTTGAGGGACCTGAGCATCACATTTTTTTAGCAGCTGCTGCTCATCTCATGCTGCAGCAAACAGCACCTGAAGTGCCCACAGCCCCTTGGCACTGGGGTCCCTTGTCATCACTTGCTCCTACACCCACCACACAAATTCTTAAGGCAGTGTACAAACGAGAAAGGGATGTATTCATCCTTGAGAGAGAAAACCCAGCAGGGTCCCTTGTCAGTGGCAAATCAGGAGAGAAGAAAATGGGAACTGGGGAAAGGAAGGAAACGGTAAATGAACCCAGAGTTTTATTTCCTTTTTCTAAGCTGTCCAACTAGATTAATACGTTAGATGATTTCCAGATTAAGTTTTTCTTTAGAGCAGTGAAGAAACCCCTCTATTTTCCTGATAACAACCTCTGTAATTAAGAGGTCAGTTCAAAGCAGTAGAGTAGAAGATAGTACATATCTCTTGCTATAAGACTTCCTGCTGTATTTCATCATATCACCTAGTGCTTAGCTAATAACTTGTAGCTCTAATTTAATGCCCAAGCCTGCTTGTATTCAGGTCAATTTGAGTTTCATTGCTGATCTAGTCATCTAGCAAAGGGTTGGGCCCCGTGTGCCATTCGTCTGTGGGTATCAGTGCAGGAAAGACAGAAAAGCCTCTCCTCAAGAGAGCTATTTTTGCTTCTGGTTGGTTGTTCTTATTTCAGCATCCTAAAAAAAAAATCTCTAGGTGGTGGTGTTTCCTCTTCAAGCCATTAGTGCGCTCACTCAGATCAATTGTGGTGTTAGTCATAAAGAGCAATGGTTTTACGGTCTGTTGCAGGCCCTGTTATCTCACCCAAGGTGAGTAGATGAAGTCGGTCAGACTTTCCAGTCTATTATACAGCTAGTCACTCCTATCCTGCCTCTCTTAGGGTAAGTGGGTTGGTGGGTGTCCAAATTAACCTGAAAGATGGTTCCATCTACATGTCCTTGTCTATCAGAAGCAACAGTCACTCTGAGACGGGGAGGGTGGAAAGCTGGGGTGAGCATGGCCCCGTGCCCAAAGCTGTCCTGGCATCTCCTGAACCACCAGCCCAGGTGATCGATGCACATCCAGCATCTCCCAAGGCACAGACAGGAGCGCGCTCAAGAGTCTTAACACTTGCACTTCCTTAAATCCCTCCAGCCCCAAGAGAAAAGAACTCCTGCAAAATATTGCCATTTAAACTCAGCTGTATCATGAGTAGGCAAAGTGCCACAAAGTCTGGGTCTTTCTCTCCTCTCATATTTTCTATAACTGACTCCTTCACACTTTCTTACTGCAGATCCACCCGAGGACCTAACAGAGTGCCGTCTGCATGGAGACAGTGAAAGCCCTGCTGATTTATGAGGACAAAGTATTGAAAGTTTAAAACCATCTCAGCATTTACAAACCAAATGGATTTCTTATTTGCACTTCGACTGTTTACCAGATAACAACAGTGGCTTTACTGTGTGAAAGTATTCAGTGGAAATAATGCCCCTGGTTTTTGACAGCTGAAAATAAAAATGAAGAAAATGGTTCTTTTGGTAAAGTTTCCAAGATTGTGAAGTACAAACAACGGTATAAGTTTGGATCTACAATTTACTTTATACCAGTTAAAGTATATATATATATAAATATATATATATATTAATATATGATATTTTGAAATAAAAGCCTCACTCGTCAAGGAATTGAAAAGTACCACACTTTGCTGCAGCTGCTGTAATTCTTTTTTCCTTTTTGTAATGGTCTGGAAGATCCCTACCTGTCTCAGAGAGAAATGTGGCAGTGAAGAGGCAAAGCAAACCTGCTGCGGTACAAGGACGCCTAAGAGCTACACGAATCCTACCGATGTGACACCCAGAGCTTCCTGCTCCCTTCGACAGAATTTCGAGGGCATTTGTTGTTCCATTTTGTGTTCTGGAAGCTTTTTCCCTTGTGCAATACTAGCATGCTGGCTTTGCTTCATTAACCATACTTGATTGATATATAACAATGATAATTCTATCCTCTTCCAAGAAAATATTTTTAGAAGTGTTAGATATTCCATGAAGAAGAGATGGACAACTACTGAGTGAAGTACAGTATGTATTAAAAGTTTATTTGGCAGAGTTTGGTAGACTGTGAGCTCCCTTCTTATTAAAGATGTACTGTATATACAATGTCTTCAGACTTTGTATAGCTTGTAGAGACTACAGTAAAAACCCAGTAACCAACTCCAAAGCTTTGAGTTGTTGGCTCACTAATTCTTTGAAACAACGGCAAAGCTATTTCTCTCCAGACCAATATGTGAGAGGGTTTTTACATCCAGTTTGGTTTTGTACAAGTCCATCTGCAATTGGTGAACAAGCTTTTCAGCTTAAGCGAATGTCTCTGTGGACAGCTCAAATGTTCAGGCACACTCGCACGCAAGGGACTGCCTGTCTGTGTGCTCTTATCTCACAGCACAGGTGGGAGAACAATCTAAATTTAAGCTTCCCTCATTGCAGGGAAGTCACATTGAGAGCATTTGCCACCAGCTAAAAGCATACGTGCGGGCAATTCCATTGCACAGCAAATGCACAAGAGTTTGCGGTAAGCAAAGTGTGTCTGAGCCCTGTTTTCGTTTCAGGAATAGTTCCTTCAGTTTAATTTTAATCTGTTTCTTACTAAGGTGAATTCAGCTCAGATGAGATGCTCTTCAGCAAGGATACGTCCACAGAGACCTTGATTCAGTACGAGCAGTTTGAGGTCCCATTTCTAGCTAAGCTGTTGCTGTTCACCATGCAGCCTGGCCCTTACGTTGCTGAAGAAAGATCAAATCTGGGGACTGAAATGTGCAAGCCTAGTTCTCATTCCCAGGTAATTTCATGAGCAGTCCAATTAATTCCAGGGGGTTTATTCATGTGGAAAAGTATCTTCCTGTCATGCATAGGTCTGCACAATCTACCTTTCAGTACACCTAATGCTACCAAGTCAAAGAGGAATAGGGAATTGTAAAACTTGTTCTATCCAGCTTCATTTCTTTAATATTTCTTTAATATTTCCAGGTTCCTTTCAGCCTGCTTACCTGTCTCCCACAAGCCCCCCTTGGCCACGCTGATCACATTTAATCCAATGCAGAGGAAGTGCTGCACTTTCCAGACCAGAGCAGGTCAAAATTCTCCCACTAACTTTCTTTCTCCTTCAGGGCAACCACTTCAATCCCTGATGCTTCAGGAGGCAGAAATTTGACACTGTAATTGCACTGTGTATTAAAGTAGCTACATGACATGTCATGCCATCGTCCATGCGGGCTTTCCATGCTGGTCCCTGTCTGATGCTCACAGTGAAAATGGAAATGCTCTTCCTGAGCACTGCTATTATTTCCCCTTTAAAAACATATGAAAGTGAAAAGTGTCCAGGGAAGAAACTCGATTTCCTTCTGTGCACAGAAACACTAAATATGAGCATGAACCTCACCACCAGTTGTAGGTCCTAGCACATGAAGACCAGCCTTGTTGGTGGCCCAGCTGTCCAGACCATGTGTCTTCTGGCCATAGCCACCTGCCTAAACCACAGAAGATACCTGGGCCCTAGTCTGTGTTTTAGATATTGTCTGCATGGCCATGTGTCCCTAGTCCCATCACCTCAATTTGGAGAGGACCACTTCCTGCCTGCTTACCCACAGGTAGGTATGGTGTCAAAACAAGATCATCAGACCAGCTCTAGGCTCACCTGCCACAAATAAGGAGAAACTCCTCCAAAAATAAATCCTTAGCATTTATCAGTTTTCCTAGAACAGCACTTTAAAAACCCCAGGACCCTCTAGAGCTAGGAAGCCCTTGGTGCACTAAGAGATAGACCAGGAGGCAAGTTGGTTACAAGCCAGAATATGTTGTCATCCCTTAAACAGTGGGAACTGAGGCACACAAAGCTAAATGGCCACTCAACTTCACATTGTAGGGCTATGGAATCAAGCAGAAGTTGCACTTCAGTTTCCTTATTCCCAGTCTACTGATACTTTGTAAAATGACCCACACACAGCAAAGCAACCCATGGCCTCTTGTACCCTTTGCCAAAGCCCAAAGTATCACCATTGAGAGGTGTTTACTCCATAGCAGTGTATCTAACGTGGCTCAGACTGTGAGTAGATAACAAAGCTTATGACTGTGTCTATGAAATATGTCTGTTGAGATTGGGAAATATTAGACTTGCTAAAATATAAGAAGGAAATGTTGTCATTACCATAGCAAAGTTTTCTTAGAGATGTTTATGGATTTTTCTTTGCCAGTAGGCAGCCTCAAATATCACCACACCAAATTCAGTAAACATCTGTGTCTCTTTGAAGTTGCAGTGAAATCTGCTCATGAAGTGCAGCACAGAGAAATTGCTGTTTTAATTAAAATGTTTTAGAGGGGAATTAAGGCCTTTGCAAAAATAATGACTAATAAAACGTGAAGTCAAATTAAGAGCCGTATGCAGCTAACCTTCATTGTTTCAGTGAACCAAATTGAAAACAATAATAAAAAAATTCAACCAGCCTGGAGTCACAATGATCATGTATTTCAGTGATACACACAATACCACAGTGTGTAGTGGGAAGATGTCAGAGCTGCTTTTTCACCTTGGTTGATGGAAACCCAGTGCATTTCAGTGGTGAATGGATCCCACATCCTTATGGGAAAGTGAAAGTCATGCCATTCCCTGCACAATGTTAAAAGATTCTCATCAACAGAAGAGAAAGTTAAAGTTCCTGCTTTTTGGCAGAACTCTAGACAGCGTCATGTCATGGAAAAAAAAGAAAAAAATATTTGTAAATGCATCGAAGATAAACTTAGATTTATGCCAGTGTTTCTTCTTCGGATGTGTGAAACCAATTCTGTAAATCTAAAATGTACAAGTTGGAAAAAATATTGGGGAAAAAAAAAAAAAAAAAAAAGAAAAAAGTAGCTACCATCTGCCTATTGATTCAGAAAAATACAGATTATGTGCTTCTGTCCAAAAATCTCTGGTAATAAAAAGCTCAGTGTGGTATGACTTGATATTGCTTTGAATATACTATGCGCTACAGTTGAAGAAAAAAGACCCATGGAGAAAGTTCACTGCTATGACCTACAGTTATGAGCAGCATGATGTGCACCCAAACCTGGCATTACACAGAGAAAGGCCCATGAAAAATTACTGAAGGTGATAGAGTTTGTGATGAGTGATGCTTTTATTTGTTCTATTGATTGATCATTAACAGAGTTTACAGACACTTTCCGTGGTGTATTGCTTGTATATTCTCCTATTATAAAATTATTAGTTGGGTTCCTAACTCTCCTCATTTGCCACTTTTCTGTTTCACTGTATGGTCCAAATATAATTACAGATGATGAAGAATTTGTAGACATAAACATACCTTTACTTGGAAAGCACATCCACTTCATCTGAAGGTGGCAGTCCTTGTTTTCTCTTCAGTGGCAGGATGAATATTGTGGCCTAAAATGAGCTTCTATCAGTACCTCAGTCACATCCCAGTAAGCAGGGTTTAGAGCTTGCCTGACAAAGAAATGGGTCATGCTTCTTTGCGTGGTATTCTATTTTTTGTCAGAGAAAAAATAGAAATACATTCCACAAATAATCTTTCAGGTAGACAGAAGGAGATGTGTGTACAGGGCAGTTGGTTTAAGGCTGTCAACATTTTTTTCTAGTTCACTGGTTTGAATTCAGATCATAGACCTGACACATATTTATGGTTCCTTCTCTGAAATGCTCGCACAGTCAAAACACTTAACTCCCAAATATTTATACTTTATAAAACTGCTGCTCTGAGGAAAAGAAACTGAATCATCTGCTTCGCAGGTAGGAAACCAAGACTCATAAGATTTGAGACCTGTCCAAGATTATGCTAAAAATCTTCAACAGGACTGGAAATAGAACTGAGGACTCCTGGATTTTAGGTCATCATTGCAGATGGTTCATCTATGGTTCACATCAGTGACATTTCATTGACAGCAGACCCTGGCTTTTAGCTTGGGTCACAGGGAGCAGAATTAGGGTGCCTGCAGTCAAGTGTGGACAATCCCTCCCTTCAGCTGGGGTTTGCAAAGCACTGATACATGGAAGACTACCACTGGACCTACTCCAATATCTTCTGCTTCACCAGGACACAGTCCTGCCCTAGTTGGCTTTCATGGTTCCTGAGAAGGAGCTGCTTCAAGTCATTCAAATCAGAGCAGAGATAAGAAAAGGCACAGAAATGGCTGGGCTTAACCGTGATGGGCTGAGAAATAGATGTAGCCAACAGTCCTTCTTTTGGAGGTCACAATTTCTCAGAGTTGCCCATCTGATGTAAGATTTTCAGGTAAATGCTGACTTTGAGCAGAGAAAGCACACATTCTCTGACACCAGAAAGTGCCTGAACCAAAAAACAAGAAGCACAAATAACTTGTTCTCAACTGAAAAAAATGTGAGCACCACTGCCAGGGGAGTAACTAAGTCATAGGAAAAAAAAAATCACTTCAATTTTGGCAAATAGTCATCTGATCATAGAGTTACAGAATGTTGTGAGTTGGAAGGGACCCACAAGGATCATTGAATCCAACTCTTGATTCTTGACAAGTACTTCTAATTCCTGAGTGCAGCTCATAAATGTACAGAGGTCTTTCGCACATGACAGGCCTGGTCATGGCATCTTCTCATGCAACATTCATTGTTGGATTATTTTTGTTTTCCCATTGTGCAGCAATATGGTCAATTTTGTATGCTCAGAAACAATATACATGTTTGAGCATCAGGTTACTGACCTACTTCCCATTATTTCTCATCTGCTTTCTTTGTCAGATGGCTGTCCTTGATTCAGTTAAAAATGAGAGCTAGAGGCCCACCTAGATTTGAAGCAAACTACCCATAACCCAAAATATTGCTCAGGGGAATATGCAATTTCTTCCTCTCACCTGCCATTCCTCTTCATTTCCTATTTCATTTCATTTTCATTTCATCTCATCCCCTCTCTTTCGCACCACTTAATTATTTTCATCCATCTCTACTACTCCTTTATCACCATGACTGCCCCATAGACTAAAGAAAAGCAGCTGTGCTGTCAAGACCCAATTCAGGGAGCTGTTCCCCCCAACAGCAGTGATTTATGTGATCTTCTTTCTTTCTTTCCCTTTTTCCTGTGTACTTTGGAAGGTGACATCCTGACCTCGCTGCA